CCCCCCTGCTAATGCTATTATTAATTATTAATCTAATGTCTGTTTAACTCTGGGCAACATCGCTCGATGTGGTCCTTGATGTCGGCTGACGGCCTGTATAGGTCCAGTAACGGTTGAGGAACTCTGAAAAGTGATGGAACCCGGAGAAAGATAATATATATATAATAAAATAATAAAAGAAAAAAATATATATAGTAATTGTGTTGTAGTGTTAGATCTTGTTTTATCCCCTTTTGTCGTTACAGGAGCATGAAGTAACCTGCTGTTTCTGTCACAAAGGATTGACAGAGGCCAAATATCCCTGGGCTGTCGGTTCGTCCTGGTGGTGCCAGTGCTGTCACTCTGGCTTGGTGGCCAGAACTGCGGTGAATGGAATTCTTGTCTCAGACGAGCCTCATAGTCTGCCGCAAGTATCCGCAGCGGTGTGCATGGAAACGGAACGCACCTGCAAAGTCATCTGGACCTCGGCTCTGAACTCGGTGCCCTATCGTCTAAGGGGTGCTATCCCGCCACGAGCCTCATACTACCCGGTGGTAGCCAAGTTGTGGGAGCACCTCCACAACGTCACCAGGTTTGTGGCGATCCAGCTGTACACAGGGCTGCCCCTGGTCCATGGCCCATCCTTCGGGGTTACGCAAAGATCATCAGAGCTTCTGCCCCCGACAGTGCCAGCCTCCTTAGGGGCACACCTAGGAGCCACTCCACCGCTGGTTCCGACTCCCGCGATGACAGCAATTCAAGAGCGGAATACAAATCCACCTAACGTCCACCTGGCACCAACCCTGATGGTGACGACTCGACATGAGACCCCAGTCGTTGCTTCACCTGACCTGCCGCCTACACGGGCTCAACCTGAAACCGAGCCTATGGAGGTAAGGGCAGCAACTCCTGAATCACCCCTTCTCTCCCTGGAGTGCCCAGAACTGTACCAATTGGAGACCTATCTTGATCATTTCGTGAGCACTGAAGTTGGCCCACCTAGTCCGACCAAGTCCACGAGCATTGCTCTGTATGATCTTTCCAGCCCTGAAGATTCCCATCCCCCAAGCCTGATCAACCCAGATGGAACACTTCTGGACCCAACTCATCCTGATGGGCCAGTAAATGCCCCTGAAGAATCGACGCAAGAATGACCACAGCAAGTGCCGGAGGCGTATGCATGGGTCTATTCAGACGACGGATGACCCATCTATGAGCCCGTCACTCCTGTTGAGTCTCCCATGAGTGTGGAGGCAACATCCTCTCAACCTGTTACCAGCACAGCCCCACTTTCGTCTGAGGATACAAATCATCCCGGGGATCCGACATCTCAAGTGGGCAACTCATGTGAGGTCGACTCTGGCGAGCCGACGATAGTGGATTATTGGGATGCTGCTGATGAGGAGGCCCAAGGGCCTAGCGACACTGAAGATCCAGCACCGTATCACGAGGAACTGGTCGATTTGGATTATGATGAAGATGTCTTAAAAGTGGATACAGCTGATGAAGATCGGGACTGGCTTGGAGCTTAAGTGTGGGTTAAGGGAACAGTCTGACTCCGTGGAGGGGGTGTCAAATAAGTACGGAGCTCAGACTGATCTTATGGGGAAGGACAAGTCAGAACATGTTATTATGTGTTATCATGTTATTTTGTGTTGATCTGCTAAGTCATGGTTTGAAGGCCTCAATCCCTTGAAAGGTCGGGGCCATGTGTAAAAACAGCATGAGCACACACACATACAGGCCCACTTGAAGAAACACACACACACAGGCCCGTCTGAGGCGCACACACACGCGGAAGGGAGAAAAGCAGAGCAAAGAATGTTCTTTTCAAATAAAGTACCAGTTTCAGATGAATGAGAAATATGTGGTTATAATAAAATCAATAAACAAAGTAGATAATCAAGTGATATTATAAACTCTGTGATTTTAGAATGTAATCTTGTGATTTTACAATGTAATCTGTGTTCAAGCTGATTCATGATGAATGTTGAATGGAAGAAACCTGTCGCTTCGTGAATGTTCTGGAAAGAACGTTATGTTACACAAGGGGAAATCCCTGAAATGCAGCTCTGAGCCAATCAGCATGAAACAGCACAGAATGACTGTGAGTTATTGAATAGAAATACACCCAGATTTTAATATGCATAAGAATGAC